CAGACCCAAGATCGCAGGAGTCGAGATGACGCCTGGTCCAGTTACGCCGGCCGTGGAGAAGGTATGACAAGGGAGGCAGCTGCTGAGGCGAACCAGGAGGCGAGTGACTCAGGCACCCAAGCGGCAGCTCCCTGAGACTGGCCGGGATGCCTCAGATACAGCCTCCTGGAATGGTGACTGGTACCAAGGATGGCAAGGTCCTCAGCGGTACGCAGGATCATGGTCCTGGGGATATGGCAGTGACTGGCAATGGGGAACATGGAAGAAGTATGATTGGACAGCCTCTGAGAAGCAACCTGTAGACCTGTATCCCGAAGTGGTTCCAGAGTTCATTCAGGCGTGGCTTCTCCTCTCTGACGCTAACATCGAGATTCCGGAGAGAAACCTCATCATGACAGCCATCCAGGGAGACCTCAGCCTTCAGCGTGTGGCCCAGGAGTTGAGGACACACTTCCCCGACTCTGGAGGTTCAGAAGCGGGATGCTCCTCGACGGCAACAAGGCTACTTGGGAACGGGCAACGATGAGGCCTCTGATCTCGATGGAGAAGACCCAGAGAGCATCTTCCAGGCAGAGACAGAGCTCAACGAAGAGGGTTTTGCTGCCTGGACGGAGGCGGAGGAAGAGTGCCAACATGCGATGGCAGCCATGCAGCAAGCTCGGAGGACCTTGCGAGTGGCCCGGGAGCGACAAAAGATGGTGAAGCTCAATCGGCAATACTACAAGGGTTCCTCGAGCAATCGCAACTCAGACCCCAAGCGTGACGAGAAGATCACGTGCTTGCGATGTGGCCAAACTGGACACCGGGCAGCGAGCTGCCCAGCCCCGCACCCAAAGGAGAACACCAAGAGTGCCGAGATGGCACCGTTCGTGCGCTACACCTCCGTGCCGGACGAGATGCCTGGAGTGGAAGCAACTTGGGATGGGTCTCCGTGCGTGTGCTTCACCAGTGCTCCTGACGTGGAGCAGGCCCTTCAAATTGGTGTCTCAACCGTCAACTCTGTGTCTACGCCAGAGGCAGTGAGCATGGGCAAAGCCATCATAGACTGTGGAGCTACAAAGTCTTTGGGGTCTGTCTATGCTCTTGAAAGGGTGATGCAACTGAGCTCCAATGGGGTTGGACATGTAGATGTTTATGACAAGCCTGTGTTTGGGTTTGGAAATTCGTCTGAAGACCAGTGCGTGAGCACATTGCACTTGAATCTTCGGGCAGGGGGCCGACCTGGCCAGCTGAAGGTTCACGCCCTTGACATGGGCTCAGCTCCGATTTTGTTTTCCATAGCTTCTTTAAGGGCTCTCGGAGCAACGATAGACTTTTCGGAGTGCACAATGGTGTTGAAGAACGTAGACCGTAACCGGCTGCTGCATCTTGAGCAATCCCGTACGGGTCATCTTTTGCTTCCCCTCACCGGTGACCTCCTAGAAAAGTCCGTAGCTACACATTCCCCTGTGCCCCTTCTGAGTAGCTATGTACAGTCCGTGAGCTCAGGGTCAAGCGAGGCCGGCAATACGCCTGAGTAGGGACAACTCCTTCCTTCTTTGAAGCCTGATAAAAGAAGGGAGGGCAGTGTTTCAAGATCAGGACAGGGGTGCAACACAACTGAAATCAGTTGTGAGCATGGTGTTAATGGTAGATGTAGAGCCGAGAAAGACATTGGAGCCAATAATGGTAATGGTAGTGGTAGTGTTAAGGGTGTTATGGGTGTTTTTGAATCTCCTGAAGAGCCTGCTCAGCGCAACATGGACAGTCAACCAGAGGACAGAGCAGCCAATCTCAGATCAGAGTCCTCTTTGCTTCCCAGTGGTTGCGACCTCTCCCGAAACCCACAACATGGCCGATTTGACTCGCGAACAGCTCCGAGCGGCCCTGCGGGCGACAGGAGAGGAGCCACCAGCTGCATGGACAAAGATGGAACTTCGCTTTCGTCTTCAAGAGATCACGGGGGAGGACCTGAGCCGTTCCTACAAGAAGTTGAGCCAGGGCCCTCCTTCCGAATACCAGGAGTGGCTGCGTCTCTTGAAGCAAGCCAAGGCGAGGAAAGCAACTCTTCAACAATTCGTGGGCGAGAGGCTCAAGCTGACCAACGTGGATCGAATGACCATGGCCCAGCTGGAGATTCACGCTCTTCGCAAGATCTACGAGATCTCCAAACCGCATCCTTCGGATCCGATGGGATTCGGAAAGTACAGCACCAAGACATACCTCGAAGTCCTGCAGGAGGACCAGGGCTACTGCAACTGGATTCGGAAGACGGCAGCCAAGGGCCAGAAGACCTGCGACCTTCACCTGCTCCGGTTCAACCAGTGGCTCGAGATCACCGACAAGGAAGAGATGATTCCCGAGGACAAGCCCATCACAAGGCTCAGAGTGCCACCTCATGTGCCCAAAGCACCCACCAAGAAGGACATGCCAACCACCCCGGCATCGAGTTCCACATCTCCAGGTCCGACGTCCCTGGAGAACAAGATGGATGCCATGCTGACCATGATGGAGAACCTGAAGGGCGAGGTGGACAAGATCAAAGAAGAGCAGAAGCCAAGGAAGAAGGGCGCCAAGAACCGCGACTCCGAGTCCGAGGCTTCGAGCTTTCAGATGGTCATGCAGACCGAGGATTGAATGAGGACGCCATGTCCGTGAGTTCCGGTGCTAGTCAGGAAGGGATCGAAGAGTCCCAACTTCCATCATGTAAAGGGCTCAGCGCTTCGCAGGTTCTTAGTCAGCAGTTGTCACTGGGCAGGGCTCGTAATCTGCAGGAGCAGTCCTGGGCCACGGTTCCAAAAGTGTTTGAGGGTCTTGTTACTTTTGGGAGAACTGTGCTGATGGAAGTAGCCTGCAGCGAAACCAGTCTTCTGGCTCAGGAGGTTCAGAGCTTGTGTGGCGATGAAAGTGCCGCAAGTAGATGCAGTTGGTGGAACAATTGTGATCTAGCCACTGATGCCGGAGTCCGACTGGTCCTAGACCGGATTGAAGTGGAGCAGCCTGTTCACGTATGGATCAGTCCTCCTTGTGGTCCTTATTCCCCATTACAGAATGTTAACTGTAGGTCTGAAGCCCAGAAGGAGGAGCTGCGCCAAAAACGTGAGGCAGCCATGCGCATTTATGTAGGTGCCTGTGTGGTGATTCATGATTGCATTCAACGTGGAATCCATGTCACTCTTGAACTTTCCGAACGGTGTCAAGCATGGAGGTTGCCCATTTTCCAGTCCTTGCAGCAGAAGTATAGCATGTACCAAGCAGTTGCCAAGGGATGCCGCGTGGGCCTTCGGGATAAAGCGGGGGTTCTAATGCAGAAGGGTTGGCGTGTGATGACCACCCATCGCCGTCTATCTGAGCTTTTGGATCTCCCTTGTAGATGCCCCAAAACCTTTAAACATGGGAAGTGCGAAGGTTCTGCAGCATCCAAGAGTGAACTTTACACCAAAGAGTTTGCCAAGAGGGCAGCGCAAGGTATCGTGCAAGAACTGGACTTTACGTCTCTTTTGCAAGAGTGCAAGAAACCTACATGCCTTCCTTCTCAGTTCGGATTAGGTTCGTTTTGCACATGTAGGGATGTGTCACTTCCTCAAAAACCCCGAAAATGTGGTATGTGTCTGTTGGATAGCGGAGAAGACACATATAAGGACCCGGGGATAAGCAATCACGAGAAGGGCGGTGATGAGGCGTTCCATGTTAGTCATGAACTCCTAGACCAGGTAGAAAGTAGGGCAGAAAGGCTCAGTAGGAACCATTCTTTTCAACATGAGCAGTGTGAAGAACTTCTACAGGAACTCCGACAAGTAGGAAACAGTAGTAGAAGAAATGTGGCCATGGACAGGAATGGTTCGTACTTCATTTTTGGGGCTTACTCACATGGCAATCAGTATGGCATCACACGAAGAACCCTCAGGTTTCCCAAAACCGTAGGTTATTTGCTGTCATACCTGCGTCATTGGAGTGGAAAGCCCATCAAAGCTACTTCCCTGGCCATCAACCTCAACAGTCATGTTGCACTACATCGTGATGTCCACAATTCCCCGGAATACCCGAATGCGGTTATAGGTCTGGGACCTTATAAACAAGAGGAACTGTGGGTGGAAGACGTAGGTTCCCAAAGCCCCTCATCACCAGCTCCCGAAACTAGGGAATCGGGGATAGGAGTGAATACATGCCATCAGGTTCTCCCCGATGGCAGACAAGTTCAAGGTTGTCTTCAGGATATTCGTCAGCAATTGACATGGTTTTCCCCCAAAGTGTGGCATGGGCCCAGGGCTTGGAAGGGAGAGCGTTTTACTGTAGGGACTTATGTTACCAGGGGACATCGACTCCTAAGTACCGAAGAGCGGGGGACTTTGGGGCGTTTAGGTTTTGATCTTCCCTCACAAGAAACCCAAGAAGCCCTAGCTGTAGAAGGGTTGCGCTTAGGACCTCGACAACCGGTGTTGGATCCTGAAAGCCTCAACAAGCAGTTGTATAAACTCCACGCAGCTACAGGCCACGGAAGCATCAGTAGTTTGGTTAATCTACTGAAGAAGCGTAATGTGTCTCCAGCTGTTCTTGAGGCAGCACAGAAGTTTAAGTGTTCGGTATGCCAAGAGAAGACCAAGGTTCAGCCACGTCATCTTGCCTCCCTAGAACCTTTGCCCCCTCGTTTTCATACCATATCGACGGATATAGGGCATTGGAACCATCCTCAAAGTGGTGAGTCAATACAGTTTATGCTGGTTGTAGACGAAGGAAGTAGATTCAGGGTAGCCAGAGTTCTTACCAGGGGTTCCAAACAACAACCCAACGCTGCTTCCTGCATGCAGTATTTAAGAGAGGGCTGGGCACAATATTTTGGCATGCCAAGAACTCTAAGATTGGATCCCGGTGGAGCCTTCAGAAGTCAACGAATAGTTGATTTTTGCGACCAGGAAGGTATCTATCTAGATAATACTCCCGCAGATGCCCATTGGCAAATTGGGGTGTGCGAACAGAGCAAGGGGAAGCCAGAGCAGGCAGTAGTGTGTGGTGTGTGAGAGGCCGCAATTTAATCAAGTGTAGTCCAGAGCAGTTGCGTTTCGCGTCAGACCGAGAGCATTTACTCGAGACACTTGCTAAAGAACATGGCCATGACAGCACGCCGTGGACTTTTAATCGCGTGGCTGCCGAGATTGGCGGAAGTCAGTTCCAGGATATTTCAGCTGACATTCCATCCGAAGCTGAATGGTCTAGGGCTCAGGATGTTCTCCAAGAGATCCCTCCTGTGAGATTTCGGTTTCGAGGAAAGCGAGCACAACCCGAACCTTTGGAGATCCCAGAGGAACCAGAAACCGGTGGTGCAACCAGCTCCAGAAACGAGGCCTGGTACATGGCACGAACGGAAAACCCGCTAGCAGGTCAAATCAAGGGGGAACGCTGGTTCGATCATGTACCAGAGTCAGCCTGGTTCACATCAACGTCCGAATATTGGACCGACAAGGCGGCAGCCGTGGAGATAGAGGTAACTTTACCAGAATCACGACAAGGCTTAGAGTCAGCGTCACGTAACTTGGAGGCCTTCTTCACTGGCGCTTTGAAGCGACGGGCAGTGGAGGTATCTGAGAAGCGTTTGTCTCCAGAACATCGAGATCAAAAACTACTTGGCAGCACAAGCTTTCGAGGTGTTACCGCCTCATCTTCAACCCTCCAAAGAGAAGGCGATCCAAATGAGATGGCTCTTGACGTGGAAAATCAAAGATGATGGCAGCACAAGACCTAAAGCCAGGGGCGTTATCCTCGGTTATCAGGACGAAGCGTACGAACACCCTGCCACATCAGCGCCAGTGATGACAAAGCAGACACGTCAGCTCTTTCTTCAACTGGCCGCGAACTCCAAGTGGAGTGTTTCGAAGGGAGACATCACAGGAGCCTTTTTACAAGGCAAAGAGTTGACAGAAACCTTGTATTGTATTCCGACCGATGAAATATGCACTGCCTTGAAGATACCGACCGGCTCGGTCACGAGGCTACGACGTGCAGCCTACGGATTGGTGCAAGCACCGCTCCAATGGTACTTAACCATAGCCGAATTCTTGGAGGAAATAGGTCTAGAACGCCTCCGATCGGATCCCTGTGCATGGGTGTGGAGGCCGGAAAAGACTGGCAAGCCACGTGCCATGGTGGTGGGTCATGTAGACGACTTTTTATTTGCAGGATCCGACCACGATACAGGATGGCAGGACCTAGTCCAACGTATTAAGGAACGTTTTGCCTGGGGTTCATGGGATGAGAGAGATTTCGTACAGTGTGGGGTAAGGATTCAGCAGAGTGATGATGGATTTAAATTGTCCCAAGAATTGTATGGTATTACCGTCCCCGAAATCCCTGTGAACAGCAGTCGAAGAAAGGAACGCAATGAACCCACCATGGCATGGGAGAAGTCCAAACTTCGAGCCACTTTAGGGGCTATTTCCTGGCATGCTCAACAAGTAGCTCCCCACTTCTCTGCGGAGGTTGGACTCCTCCTGTCCGAGGTGAACACCAGTACGGTAAGCACCCTCCTTCAGACTAATCAACTTGTTTCCTCTGTCAAAGCCCGCAAACGACATGAGATGATCGTACACAGTTTTCCGACAGAAACCGAGTTAGCATGTTATGCTTGGGTTGATGCCGCTAATGAGAATCGACATGACGGGGGTAGCACCCAAGGGATTTTTTATAGGAATGGCACCAGTGGGGATGTTACAAGGGGAACTGGGTTTAGTAACTCCCGTAGTGTGGCATTCGCATAAGATAGATCGGGTGTGTAGGTCACCAGGAGCCGCTGAAACCCAAGCCGCAGTCAATGGTGAAGACAGCCTATACTTTGTAAGGTATCAGTGGAGTGAGATGTTGTATGGGTTGGGGTGTACTAAATCACCAGATGCGACAGTTTCAAAGGTTATTGGTTGCGTAGTGTCTGATTCCCGGAATGTGTATGACAAGTTGCAAAGCGAAGTACTGACTATAAAGGGGGCTGAAAAGAAGGCTAATATAGAGTTGCTTAGTCTTAAGGAGGCTCAGCAGAGGACCAAGGTGGTCATCCGCTGGGTGCATTCAGAAGCTCAGTTAGGAAATTCCCTGACAAAGAAGCATGGCGGTAAAGAACTTGAGCTCTTCTACAAGATGGGCCATACGTGGAAAATCGTGGAGGATCCGTTGATGAGGTCCGCCAGGAAAAGAAAGGTGGCCGGTCTTGAAAGCTTGGAAGGAGGTTCAAAAGAAAAGTAGATGTGTTTCAATCAAATCAATATGTCTTTCTCGGCTTAATTGGGGTAGCAGGGGAAGACGGGGGCATGCAAGATGAGTCCCTCATCCAGTGGCTTTCGCACGTTGTACATGTGCTTGCAGCCTACTCAGACCAAAAAGGAGCGCCCACGGCTGTAGACACCGCTGTGTTAGCCCAGCCATATTCCTTCGAGAGCTGTCTTCTCCGGTCTTTAAGCTTGAGCATTCTACCAGCGAAGCCGAGCGCTCGCAAACCCTACAGCCTAAACCCTAAGCCCAGCTGCCCGCAAACGCCTAAACCGCACGCTGCCAAGGGGGGTCTGGGGACTTCGAGGCCTTGCGGCACCACGTACCCACATACTACTACTTATTATATTAGTGGACCCCCCACCTAGTAATAGTGACTATAGGGGATAATAGGGATTGTATTAGGGNNTACAGGGTCGGGGGTCCTCCTAACTCATTATTCTAATACCAATCATAGAGAATAGTCGTAATCATCATTGGTAACTGTGATGGTAATAATACGAATTGAAAAATAATGAAGCATGGTAGGATGTAGGGAGAGAAGACTACCAAAGAAAGCAGAAATGGGTTTGCTGACCCGAAACCCTCAGCTGATTTTCACGCTTCACCAGTTCTGAACCAAAACTCTGAATGCAAATGAAAACTCCAAACCCTGAACTCAAAAACTCTAAGCCCCAAACTCTAAACCCTCAACCCTAAACCCCAAACACTATATCCCAAATTCTCCAAACTCTAATCCCTACACCCTCAACCCCAAACGCAAAAGCCCCTAAATCCTAAACCCTAAATCCTAAGCCCTCAACCCTAAATCCTAAACCCTAAACCCTAAATCCTAGACCCTAAACCCTGAATCCTTAACCCTAATCCCTAAACCCTAAACCCTAAATCCTAGACCCTAAACCCTAAACCCTAAATCCTAGACCCTAAACCCTACCCCCCCCCCCTTTGGTCCGGCTCCCCAAGTGCGACCCCGGAGGCTGGGGCTGTGATTGGCCCTGCGCAGGCTGAGATGTCTGCGCCTGGCAGATTAGGCTTTAAGGTTTAGGGTTGTAGAGTTTAGGGATTAGGGTTTAAGGTTTAGGGTTTTAGGGTTTAGGGATTAGGGTTTAAGGTTTAGGGTTTTTAGGGATTAGGGTTTAAGGTTTAGGGTGTCCAGTTTAGGGATTAGGGTTTAAGGTTTAGGGTTTTAGGGTTTAGGGTTTTAGGGTTTTAGGGCTTAGGGGTTAGGGTTTAAGGTCTAGGGTTTTAGGGTTTAGGGATTAGGGTTTAAGGTTTAGGTTTTTAGAGTTTAGGGATTAGGGTTTAAGGTTTAGGGTGTTAGGGGTTAGTGACTAGGGTTTACGGCTTACATTTTAAGGTTTAGTGATTAGGGTTTAAGGTTTTGGGTTTTAGGGTTTAGGGCTTAGGGCTTTGGGTTCAGGGGGGTACGTAGGATTTGGCGGGATCTTTTTTTGTGGTTCAATGTTTTTGAAATCTTCGATGTTCAGGACATGGGGACCTTGGGGACCTTGCGCAATTATGAGCTGACTTTGTCTTGGGTTTAATGTCTATAGTCTCCCTTGAGTAGATAGAATATGGCTTTGGGTATATTAAAAAAACCCCATATTCTGTCTACTTAAGGAGGACCATAAAGTTTCCAAGAGTATGGGTACGTGGTGGGCCCCCTAAATCCTAAACCCTGAAAGCATCTCACAGTGAAGGTTCTTGGTACCTCCTGGCTTGGGGCGTGGGGCCTGAGTGAAACACAGCCCCCCGCACCCAGAATCTCAAGGGGGAGATGCAACTTTCGTTTGGCTCGCCTAACTGCACTGCCGTCTTAATTGAAAACATCTGGGAGTATCCAGGACTCGATCAACCACGGCTGTGCGACTTGCCATCCAAGACCCTCGAACCCAAAACTTAAGCCTCAATGCAAGTCCCTACATTTGGGCAGCTCCCAAAATCAAGGTCCCATGTTGATTCCTCTAAACATTAGGCGCCGTAATGAAGTCTATGACCAAAAAGGCGCCTATAATTTTGAGAACAACCCATCTGTTGCCCACAGCCCGGCCGTCGACTGCTGGTATAGCTGCGGGAACCTGGACCGTTAGGTTCTGAAGAGTCGTTTAGGGGCTTGGGGGATGTATCAGATCTGCAGAGGAATTCAGAGCTTTGAGGGGGGGTGCAGAAACGTACCGCGAAGTTGTTGCTGGGGGGCCTTCCTGAAAAGCATATAGGAAAAACATACGCAAGATCCATGGTGTAACCCATTGTTTGTCGCAACAACCTCTTTCCTTCGAACGCAAGACTCCGGAATATGTAAGCTTCCAAGATGGGTCGCAAGCCTGCCAAGACTCGCGACGAAAAGTGTGATTCTTCTTTGTGACCTTCACCACTCAGCAATGATGCTGCAAGACGGCATTGGTTGAAATCCATCTCCATTCGACCCAAATCTTAAACGAATTGTCCATAAACCCCAACCCCAAACCCTGAAATCCCAACCCATGAACCCGAAACACTAAGCTGAGCTGAGAGATTTTTGGTAGGGAATGAAGGAATGAAAAAGAAGATAAGATGGAAAACGCTATGTTGATAGGGGCATATAAGGGCACTACAGGGATCCATTCCTCCATTTGCTGCCCTAAACCCCAAACCCTTAACTATTCTAAACCCTAAGCCCCCTCTACTCAAAACCCTCAACCCTAAACCTTGTGGTACTTTCCACTATCTGTACTAACAACCTGATGGTGCTTGAACCTAGTGCAACTATTTCCTGCTTCTATGAAATACTATACCCCATAAGGAGGACATACTCTTACTCTATATTGGGAACCATAGCATTCACGGACTTCGAGAATGGGGAATATATATAGTATCCTGAAATAAAAAGCTACCCCCGAAACCCTAAATCATAAACCCTATACCCTAAACCAGGTTAGGATTTTGACCTAGGGTAAACAGAATAAAAGAGCACTCTAAAAGGAGCCCTAGGAAGGTAAGTGCTCTTTGATTTCTTGGGTAAATACCCCTATTATGGTCATAAAATCCTAACCTGCCCTAAACCCCTGAAACCCTGAAACCCGTAAACCGCAACCCTAAACCCTAAACCTCTAAACCCCTAAACCGCAAACCCTAGACCCCTAAACCAATCATTGTGCGGCCCAGCCACGAAGGCTGCTGGTACATTGAGTAGCTCATGGCGAGCGAGGCCTGCCTCGAGTTTAGGGACTTAGGGTTTAGGGGTTAGGCGTTAGGATTTAGGGGTTGAGGGGTTTAGGGTTGAGGGGTTGAGGATTTATCTGGGCCGATATAGGGCTTAGATGGTTTATAGGGGCTCATTTGGGATTTAGGGGGTATCGAGAATATGTACTTCATCTAAAATTGTCCGGGATTTAGGCTTCATGGAGGGTGTAGGTGGTTTTAAGGTATACGGTTGCGTAGTAGAAACCATCATAAACAAGAATTGTCATCCTCGACATGATACATGGAAATTAATGTGACCAGCCGTGTCATTCCTCGGTACTCATCTGCCATTGTCATCAGAGGACCCTACTATGGTCACAAAACAGTAATATAGGGATAGGGTCCTGTTTTGGGGGTTGGGGTTTCTGAGGTCCTCTTCTTGTCGTAAGGCTGAGGGTACAGGGCTCAGGGACTTGTACTCCAATACTTTGCGACTTCCCCAAAGATGCATTCGATTTCTCTTACGGGCATGAGGAGATCAGATAAGGAGGCACCTGTCACAAAAATGCTGCATGGCGTTGCGGGCTTTCCCTAACACCCCAAGCCCTGTAAACCCTGAACCTCCCTAAACCCTAAACCCCACAGTGGGAAATCTGAAGGAGCCTCAGAATCTCGAAAATCATCATAGACCAGGCCAACACTTACGGAACAAGAATACCTGCCTGGATGCTCATGTAAAGGCCCCAAACCTATTGATAAGTAGGGTCCCTTACACCACAACAAGGGGAAATGATCAAATCATCAAAAGTCCACCGAGCTGCATTAGTTACCTAGACCCTCCTCCTACCCTCTATTAGGGCCTAAGTACCCATTATTAGGGACCCTATATCCCCAATTAAGGGTACTAGGAGGGTCCTGGTAGTAGAAGTTGGATTGTGATTTCGCTCCTAAGTCTCCTTGGGGTCCTTGAAGAATTGGGGTGTGTCCAAACACCATGAGCACCCCAGAGTTGGCTCATCATACGTAGAATCTGAAGCGGTGCTTATTGAAGATGACTGTCCTGGTTATAGTCCCCCTTAAGTAGATAGAATATGGCTTTGGGTATGATTATAATAAGATCCCAATATACCCCATATGCAATCTACTTAAGGGGGACTATAGATGCCCTGTCTGGGGTTACTATGCTGCCTGTGCTAGCCATGTCCCCAAAGGGCTCAAGGGCTTCGCTGCTGGTGAGGCAGACATGTGCTTGCGCAGAGAACTTTTAGGGTTTAGGGTTTGGGGTAGCACGTACAGCGTCTTGGCTTCGAGGCTTTGCGCCTGGAATTCAGCAGCACTTTGACAGCGTATGCGTTTTTGAAAAGGGGGGCACTTGTGGACCTCCCCTACCTGCGCAATTGGGGTTGAGGGTTTAGT